AGTCAGCATATTGCCCCCAACAATCTGGGTCCTCATTTTACCCACCTCGGAAGGATGGAAGGCTGAGTCAACCCTGAGTCAACCCTGAGTCAACCCTTAATCAAGTAATTAAGATCACAGACCTGAGCTTGTTAATTTCTAACTGGCCCTTTTTAGGGAGTGTTTCCCTGCGGGGAAAAAAAACAGCTTAGGAAAAGTTAGCTTGTGTAGTTCTCTCCGCTCTGGAGTAAAGTGAAAAATGGGTCATCCACAGACACATTGAGTATAATGGTGAACACGACTGAGAAAGCAATATTGCAAAGGTCATAAATACAGACATTAGTCATATAGTTACTTTTTCATCACCACAGTAACTGCCATTGTCCCAGGCAGTTGCTAAACAAGGACTACCTTGGTTGAATGTTACAAATGGGAGAAATGAAGACATTTTAAGATGTGCATATGCTAATAGAATAGATATTAAGTGATCTGTTGCAAGGAATAAAACATTGCCCCGCGCCCAGCAAACAAAAACAAAAAACAAAGACAGTTATGCTTAGGAGTATTCTATGGAAGTCAGTTAGATATGTTTAAAAAAAAAACATTAAAATTCAGTCAAATGGCAATTGGATGCTTATGAAGTACATGTTAAAAAGAGAAACGGTGTTTCTTGTTTTAAACCTTGTTTTAAACCTTGTTTTACTTTTTTTAAACTTCCAGGCTTACAATTTCTTACACCTTTTCTGTGCTTTGCATTCTGTTGCTTACCCCCAAAAAAGAATAGTGTGATGGTTAAGTTTGTAATGTATGTACAACCTCATTACCCCTTTATCTACTTTAGTAAAGGATAATAAAATAACAAAAAAAAGAAAAGAAAAAGAAATTACCACAAAACACCACAAAGCGGAAACTGAAGAAATGAGTTGGCTAAAGGGTATTTTTTATTCCAACAAAAAATCCATTCATCCAACTTGTTAACCCATAAACAATCTTAGCTCTTCTAAAGATTGCATTATAAATGAATATTTTTCTCTTAACAGTCTGCCATTTTTGAAGCTATCCTAAATGAATCAGCATATTTGCATTCAACTTTCATTCCACATGTTATTTTCATCATACTGCAATAAAACAGTGAATTACATTTATCCTTCAAAATATATAATTCTAGATTTGACAAAATCATTTTCAATATCAACAATTTCAACAGAACAATTTGTTGAAATACTTCAGCAACATATTTACAGCGTATTATTTTATTCAAGTAACCAACTAGTTTGATTATTCACAACCTTAATATTGATGTCAGGCTATAAAAGTAACATTCTCTTGAGCCATGCTCATTTCCTGCCCAGTGACTACATGGCCAAAACTCTGATCATGGGTTTTCTTCACATGTTTTGCATAGCCGTGTCATTATTTACTCAAGAAAAAAGAATAGAGCTTTGTCTTAAGCAGAGGGTTTTTTTAAAAGTACATTCATTATTCCCAACTTGAGTTCTCATTTGAGAACTCGAGACTCAAGGTTCTCAGATTCACCATTTTCACTTTGTTCAATATGAAATTCTTTTTGAATATAGTAGACGTAGAGAATTTGGTTTCACTGGAAGATTCCAAGAGCTTTTAACACCTGTATTTTTGGTCAAGTTTCTTTTCCTTTTTACAGTCAACAGAGACACTATTGAAAACTTTCAAAGGTAACATTATATCAGCACTTTAGACACTAATTATACTAGTATACTTCTTACCAGCTCTTTCCCCCCTCCCTTGGTTTTTGGATTATAAACAATGATCAAGGCTTTGAGGACATTAAGAAAGCACTCTGAAGTTCATATGTATCAAATTCTTGTGGTCCAAAACGTGGTTTCTAGGAAAAGCTGAGCTCTATTGCTTTGTTATACTCAGTCTTTATACTGTGTTCCAAAATGTAACTTACTTGACCACTAATTAAAGAATACATGCCATTTAATTATCACAGTATTAGTTTCCTCTTGATCCAGAAAGATAAAACTTACTTTTTACATGCAGATGTTGCTACAGAGAGGTCTATATTTGTGCTTCCCCAGCACTTTGTATATGGAATAGAAAGCAGGCATTTGGTTTAACAAATGTTTACAGTGGTAGAAATGTCATCAAACAAGATACATGTGATGAACACTTGCTTATAATATATCAATGTTTCACGCAGAATGCCAGGGAATAGTTATTGTAACAGGCATGGAATTGATGTTATAGTGGCTATCACTTTAAAAGGTCCAATATTGACTTTATCAGAATTGGGAAAAACAGGGCATTTAATTTAAAAGCTATAGGTTTCCTAATGATGAAAACCTACAGAGCAGAAACCCATCAAACCTGAAATTCAAACATTTCTGTCTGCTTCTTGGCTAACTTTGCTACTTCTTCTCTTATTGCCTTCACCAAGGCAGTTGTAGAAAGATTGTGGACAGGGTTGATTGAAGCATCATTTTCTATTATGCTTTGATGAGATCCAACTGTAGCAGAGTGCAGAGCTTCTTCCAGACTTGGATACAAATCTGCTGATTCACCATACTGAGGATGAAGCATCGAAAGACAGTTGTGCTCATAGGGTGGATGTGAATATGCTTCTAGGTAGCCAGGGTGTGGAACCTACAGAAGATTTTAAGTAGAACGTGAACTCCTCTCACTTAAACAACAACACAGAACAGCTGCAGTCCCTACCTCATATAAATATATCACTTGGGAAAAGCTGTAAAATAATCAGTTTGATTACTCCAAAGGAAATGCCATTTTTGAGTGGAAATCATTTTCATCAGAAATAAATAAGCTCCTTGTCAAATCAATTGTTTTCCATTCCTCAGTAATCTGATGGAACATAGTAGAGCCATACTGTGAGCCATACCGAGAGAAGTACCGTTTTCCTGAAAATAAGACCTCCCTAGATAATAAGCCCAATCAGGCTTTTAAGCGCATGTGCTAAAATAAGCCCTCCCCCGAAAATAAGACCTCTCTGAAAATATTGCATCACAGCAGCAGCCATGACGTGACCACACTCGCCACCTCTGCACTTCAAAAATAATAAGACCTCCCCAAAAATAAGGCCAAGTCCTTATTTCGGGGATCAAAAGAAAATAAAGACACTGTCTTTATTTTCGGGGAAACATGGTACTAACTTCTCTAATTGGAGTGAGGCTTCTCTTTTCCTTGGACATGAGGGTACATGTCCCAGTGGCATTGCCCCATCTTCAAAACAGAAAAGGTTTATTATCAACATATTGAATCCTAATTCACTGAATTAAAACAAAGGTTCTTTTCTGAATATATAAGACTATCATATTACATAAGATAATAAGGCTTTGAATTAGTTTGGAAGTAGTAGAATAGATATTCTGGATATTATTCTATTGGATTTTTGTTATTTTTTTAAATCTCTGCATGCTATAGAGGCTGGGTTCAAGTAGAATCTGAAAACAAAACATTAAAATCTAGAGATTAACCAGTGGCTAGAGTGCAGTACTGCAGGCTACTTCTGTTGACTGCTGACTGCTTGCAATTTGGCAGATTGAATCTCACCAGGCTCAAGGGTGACTCAGCCTTCCATCCTTCCGAGGTCAGTAAAAATGAGGACCCAAATTGTTGGGGGTAATATGCTGACTCTGTAAACTGCTTAGAGAAGGATGTAACAAAGCACTGTAAACCAGTATATAAGTCTGAGTGCTATTGCTATTTTGTTCTGCATAAATTTTGTATAATAATCAATGTCTACTCATTTAATAACTAAATTAAAGCTAAAGATTGAAACTAATAATAGGTTATATATCCCCTTTTCCTAATAATCTTACGAGTGAAGTCAATAGTTCCCATATATGACAATTTTTAAGGATATTTTATTGGAAAGATATTAATTTATTTTCTTTTTCTCAAAAATTATGGAACATTATTGTCTTTCAAAACAGATGTTTCATTCAAATTGATACAATACACATAAAAGAGGACATAATATTTGTTTAAAGCCCAAGGCAATTTTTTTCAGATAAAGAAATTGCAGAAAGAGGGGAAATGATATAGCAAAAGATTTATTTTTCTATTCACATAATATAAAAAGTATGTAAGAAAATCTTCACACTAGTTTGGAGAAAAAATATTGCTTAGAAAGGGGTTACTGGACATGGATTGTGAAATCGGGCAACCACTAGATTATATACAGAAAACTCCATATCTTTGCTATGAGCTAGTGGTCATCTTAGTATTTACAGCATAGATGTGGTAGCCATTAAATAAGAGCAGTTCACTTTTCTATCTTATATCCAAGTCAGAAAGCTTTGAGTACCAGAATATATGTTTTTGTTAAAAATTTATGTGTATATGATTTCTTTTCATGTTAGGCAAGGACTTCAATCAATTTTCATTTTTATAACTTTTTTTCAGCTTCTCAAATCTTTTCCAGCTGTCTTCCTTTTCCATTATACAATTTATTGGAGAATTTAAAGCATAAATTTCATTATCTCCCTCAATAAACAGATCAGAAGCAGTGAATAGGAAATAGTTCCTTCTCTGTTCCAGAAGTACTCTTGCTGATACCTAGCACAATAAGTATCCTCCTTAAATTTCATAAAGAGGGCTCTACAAAGTCTGCTATTTTTTAAAAAAACTTTCAAAGTTAATATTTATCTTCTTTCATTTATTACTTATTACTTCAATTTTGAGATCACCTGACCGGGGGGGAGGGGAGCTTACAAATAAAAACAGAAAATGTCAAGAGAAGAAAGCTAAGTGGGGAAAAAAGGTCCCAAAAATAAGTAGCAAAAAGAAAACAAACAATGGAGTTCAATCACAATGCTAGCCCACAACCAGGTTTGGTTGGCAGAAAGTCAAAAGGATATAATTAACAACTACAACATGTGTGTGTGTGCGTCCGTGCGTGTGTTTGGGTATCTTAAACTAGACGCATGATGTTCACAGAAGGGGTAACTACAATAAAAATTTACGAGGCACCCAATGTTTTAAAGATAAAATCAAACTACACCCCTATTACTCAACTAATGTTAAGCTAAACTTGTTAAAAAACCTATATCTTGGAATAAAGCACTAGAGGCCAGTATTTCTCTAGTTCAGGCTCATAAAAATGGTAAAGCAGAACTACAATGCTGAGAAATCCAGAGATTCTAACACTTTTATCAACCAAAACCTCTGCAAATCTGCATTGTTTCATAAGATCATTGTTGCCATTATCAAAAAATTCTTCTACTTTTTTCTAAATATAAACGGTAGAGATAACATGTCACCCAAAGGATAATGTATTTTCGAAAGAAAAATGTTACCTGATTAGAAATTGTACTTTGCAGCTTGTTTGATTTGCATGAAAGAGTGGGTATTGCTGGGAAATAGAAGACTTTTAGAGTTAAAAGAATATAACATGAGATTTGGGTTGAATGGATATTTGTGATATGATAAAGGTAATGCTGATGTAAAAAATCATTGTTATATATGCCATATTGAAACTATGGAATAAATGCAAATCCAGGCTGTGCCCCAAAAATATCTTTACAGCTCTCAACATAAGAAACATTCTATACCCAAGAAATAATAGACCAACAAAAATTAAAATATTTTGAATATTAGAATTCTGTCAAGGGGGATATGAAATAAAGAGAACAATTGATGGCAGAGGGATATATGGTTGTCTTATTTACAGATATCAGAAGGATTTAAAGTAGATAAATTGCAATAACTTTTATTGATAACATTTATTTTATCACTTTTTGTTGATTTTTGTTTTTAGAACCATTCTTTATTTAGTGTCTAGCTCATTTAGCAGCCATTCAAAAAATATTATGATGGTAATAATAATAAATATTTTTTGATTAATTTGTACATTTACAACTAAATTTCATGAAGCTAAAAACAAAATTGTCAGTGTGAAACTGATTAAAGTCTAGTTAGTTTCAGGCAGTACAAAGCAAAGCGTTTTAATCAAATAATTAAGATCATAAAGCTTCACTTCTTAATTTGCAGTTAGCATTTTTTAGGAAAGAGCCGCACTGCCGAGAAAAGCAGAAAGAGTTATGGTTTGTATATCCAGTCTCTCTATCTTGGGGGAGGGGGGAGAAACCAGAAATAAATGGGTCAGGAACAGGACACTGCACAAGATAACTTTATCTGAATGAGATGGCAGGAACCACTGATCTACATGGCATCTCTCTTTCCCAGTCATAAGTTTACTTAGCAACCATTTTGTTTAGTGACCATTTTGTTACTGATTTAAGAAACAGATTGTGGTCTCTAAGGAGAGAATGTACTATTATTTTAATAGTTAATCTGTATTTCATTTGCAGCTTGTATTTTACAGAGACTAATACATATAAGATGGTGTTTTAGACTCTTCCAAAAATAAATGATCTAGAACACCATCCTGACACCCAAAATTAAGTACTGGAATCCTCTATTTTACTCTTTTTTAAAAAAAAAAAAGGGGGGGTGTCTCAATTTATTCATTTTTAAAAAAAATCTATTTCAACTCTTCATTTAAAAGCTTACAAGGTGATTTATACACAATGCTAGAGCAGAATTCTCTCAGTGCTGATTTCCTAGTCATTTTCATGTAAAAGAAAACACCACCAACCCACTAAATATTTTCCATACAAGATTTTATACACAGTGAATCTTTGTTTCCATCCATATTTTTGGTTGTTGTTGTTGGTTTTTTTCTCATTTCCTTATTTTTAAATAATTTAGTAATCTGTAAACTGCTCAGATTCACTGGGAGTCGGACAACATATAATATCTAAATTATTATTACTATCCGTTTATAAAAATTGAGTTGTGAATGGCAATGTCACAATTGCCAGTTCTTTTGCTGGTACTGGCCTTCATATGCATCAAGTTCTTCTGAAGAAACTAGCATGTTGTAATGTATGGGCGTAGTAAATGTGTGAATTCAAGCAATGTGGTCCTTTGGCAATTGGCTGATGGAAATTTAGTCAATGCAAGGATTTTCTAACCGCCACCCAAGATTTGTTGACATGGCATCCAGTGCACCGATTATCATTATTAATTTACAAACTCTATCAGAAGAAAACCAATGTAAACCATATCTTCATCAATACCATGAAGTAGAAGAACTAAATACAGGGAGTCCTCAACTTACAACAGTTCATTTAGTGATTGTTCGAAGTTACAACAGCACCATTCGAAGTTACACACTGACCTATGACTGTTTTTCACACTTATGACCATTGCAGCATCCTAATTGTCAAATGATCGAAATTCAGACACTTGGCAACTGACTCATATTTATGACAGTTGCAGTATCACAGGTCATGTGACCACTTTTTGTAATCTTCTCATAAGCAAAGTCAATGGGGAAGCCAGATTTACAACCAGGTTACTGATATAATAATTGCAATGATTAACAACTGTGGCAAGAGAAGTCGTAAAATGAGGAAAAACTCACGTAACAAATGTCTCATTTAGCAACAGAATTTTGTGGCTCAATTGTTGTAAGTCAAAAACTACATGTATTTAGTAGATTATGTATTAATAATTATGTAAAGTCTGTTTTGGCATTGTATATCTCACTTGATCACTGAAACCATATAATTCTTAACTTTGTGTTGTTTTCCAATTATTTTGGGAAATCACCATCAGATTGGGCAACAGTTTGTCTGAAATGGTATCGGATTTCCTGCTTGAGCAAGAAGATGGACTAGAAGATCTCCAAGAATAACTCTGTTATTCTAATATGTATTTTATAATTCTAATACTCAGCTTAAACCCAGTTTTCGCATACTAGAAAAATTCAACAATGCATGTAACAACTATTTGTTATTTTGCAGTAATAACGTTTTATAAAAGGAACCTAAAACATTAATGAACATTAGCAAAGTGAGCTTCCTGTTGTTGTACTGTAACATCATGCTTTAAGTTCTCTTCTGGAAATGGCTAGATAGCTGAGTAATACAATCAGCAATTGTGTAACCAGTATCATTCACATTCCATTACATATGTGAATGCGCTCTTCTCTTCACTTTTATTATTTGAATGCAAATCTTCGAAAAACAATGACAGCTTTTAAAATTTGTGCTAAAACCTACATTTGGAGTCCTGAATTTTGTATGTTAATCAGTCACATAGTCTACACATAATTTATGGTATTCTTAGTGTATTGTTTGCTATTTAGGTTTTTCTCTCATTTATTTTGTGTTTATTCTAATTCAATTGTGTTAAATTTATTTTAACTCAATTTTTAAACATAATTTTTATATTTGAATATTTTTATAGTTCAGTAGAGATACCTCTTGGCCAGAAATTGAGTATCATATATCTTATACTACTCTTAAGTTGTTTGTTGTATACTATTTGTATTGGCCATATGATTTCTTCAATCTGCTATTTAATTGCAAGTCATTAATCAATATTCTTGTTGAATTTAGTGTATTTCTATCAATTTTTTTTTCTTGAAATAACAACAACAATATTTTTTTTAAAAAGGAATACAGATAGTCCTCGACTTACAACAGTTCATTTAGTGGCTGCTCAAAGTTATCTCATTGAAAAAGTGACTTATGACCATTTTTCACACTTACAACCATTGCAGCATCCCCATGGCCACATCATCAGAATTCAGACAGTTGACAACTGACTCTCATTTATGAAAGTTGCAGTGTGCCAGGATCAGGTGATCACCTTTTGGGACTTTCTGACAAGCAACGTCAATGGGTAAATCAGATTCACTTACCAACTGCAATGATTCACTTAACAACATTGGCAAAAAAAGATTGTAAAATAGGGCAAAATTCACTTAACAAATGTCTCACTTAGCAACATAAATGTTGGGCTCAATTGTGATCATACGTCGAGGACTACCTGTATATATCAGTTTACTCGGAGATACAAGTAGTAAAATAAAATCTGCTCAATTACCGAGTCATCCCATTGTCCTGGGATATCATAGTCTCCAGCATAAGACATCCAAGCCTGATTTCTGTATGCTGCAGGTGTTGCAGGGAAGAAATAACCTGTGAACCCAGGTCGGTTTGCTGCTGGGATGGCAAACACTGCTGGAACTGTATTTCCTATCAAAAAATAGGGAAGGTAGTTAGTCATCGATACACATTTTAAACACAGAGGAACATTTTAAAGGACATCTGAGATGTTCAAAATAGAAGATCCCATTGTTTAAGTGGCGATGGAGAATTTCTTGCCAAAAGTAGATCATGTATATTACTGCATCTGCACCTAGTGCCATGTTGCCACTATTGTGGAATGTTTTGTGGAAGAGACGGCACCTATATAAAGAGAGATCAGTACTGACATTCCATGTGATACAGCGAAGACGGCAGCACTATATTCATGCAACTAATAGTGGTACTTGTTCATTGTCCAAATGAATTACTGTACCAGCTTTTCATTCATTATTTCCATCAGTAAGCAGCACAATGCAGATGCATATTTTTGGATTTATGAAGAGTAGAAAGAGATGTTCCTGGGCATGTTTCAAATAAAACTTGCGAGTATACAAAATGTATATGTGATATGAGAAACCAAATAGATTCTTGTGTTTCTCTAAATGTGTTGCTTCTTTTGTACAATTATTAGCTGAAACATCAACATAGTTCATTTTCAACAGAGTATTATTGAACAATGAGCAATCACAATAGGATTAAGAGTTTCTGGAAAGCACGGTAACCATCTGTTTCGATTTTGTGAAATATGTTTGTGTTAAATATATTTGTGTGTAACAGTGCTTTTGCATGTTTGCAAATCTTTCAAATTCTGTGAAATTTTGTGTTTAGTCACGTTTTGAGCAAAATTGTTGGATTATTAAAGAATGAGGGAATAACATAGATATGACTGACTTAGGTTGTGTGTGTCAGACTTTAAATAGTTCAAATAACCTAGCTGTCAACTCGCAAAGCATCCCTGACCTGCTTTAATGTGAATTTAATGTTATTTAAATCTTCAATTCCAGAGAAAAATCCGAGTAAGTTTATATATAACTATATCTCAAAACAAATATAGTCACAATCTTTCTGTTTTCTGATGCTTTCTAATGTCTTCATTAAGAGTTTACTTGTCCACAGAGATGACCTTCTTCATCAGTTGACAAATAAATAGATTTTTCAGTGTCTGTCACTGGTATCTTCTGGGACGCACTCCTCAAATTGCTGCTATCACATTACTGTTCCCAGCAAAAATGTTGCAAAGTATTTTTTTTTAAATGAACCCACTGTTATCTTCTGGTCATGAAGCACTGCTCTTAGAGACCAAAGACAGCAATTATTCACATGTTAGGGGTTTAAATGTTCCAAGTTTCCCATCATTTTTTCTGTAACTCAAATTTTAAATAATTAAGTATGCAAGCTCAATAGAGCCAGGTTCCTTTTCTTTTTTCTTTTGCTGAAAAGAAAATATCCATGTCCGGGAGACAGCCAGTAGCATGTGCTATTAATATTTTATTTTCTGAATCCAATGTAGTTTGGTCTTTGCTTTGGCATACTGTTAGGATCTTTTGTGGTTGCTATTGATATAACTTTTGGAGCCTAATCTTATCCATATAAACTAACTGAATTCAATGGAACTTATTCTTCTGTAAATATAAAAACATCTACAGTTTTCTTCCTAAGGAAAATATCTCCAGAGCAATGTTAATTTTGAAACTGTCTGCATATGCTAATTTTGTTACAACTATCTTTAGTATATGTAATATACCTCTCTTGGAATAATATTTCAGTTTTATATATTACAGAATTTGATAAAATTTATTGTAACCTTCTTGTGAAAACTCATTAAGGACTCAAGAATTACTCCATCAATTTAAGTTCTAAATTCACCATCATATTTATTTATGAATACTATAATTTTATTTTCCTTCTTTCTTTAGTTCATCAGAGCATCTATGCAAAATGTACTAATGCCAATGTGGTTCTCATAAGATCCTTCAAACTTGTGTTCCTTATGCCTCTTACCTCCATTTAACGTTTACGTAGGAATTTATACAGATTACAACAACCAGTGAATAGCACTTAACACCTGCCATGATTGTTACATTATTGTCATCAGTTGCTATTTCCTTTGCAAGAGCGTATTTATTAAACGAAACTGCTCTCTTTTTGTGTCTTATTGACAAATATGTTTGAGTATCTCAAAACAAAACACTTCACACACATAGAATGTTAAACAGAAACAATGTATTTTAATAAGACAAAGTTCCATTTTTCCATTTCAATTTACAACATAGTTTTCCAGCCTTCTTTGTCTACAATGGGCTTCTCAAGTTTGCGCAAATGTTGCTTATGGGTTTACAAGTTATAAAAGGAACCAAATAAACCAACCAAACAACCTTCATTTGGGAGAGAATATTAGAAGTTAGCCCCATATTGTATGTTCCTTGAGTTATGTCTCTTTAAGATCTCTCTGAGGTGAGACCTTAAACTCTGAATTTGAAAGGTTTCATGAAATTATTTCTTCTGTCGATGAATAAACCCGTGAATGAATATAGCATACGGTATATTTAACCTGATGGGCCTCAACAATTCTAAAAAGAGCCATTCCAATAGTAATAATAATAGTAGTAATAATAGTCATAATAATAATAATAACAAAACAGAGACATCATATTACAAACAAAGTCCCTTGAATCCATAGGTTGGAATGATTAGATTTAACACAAGTAAATTATGAAATTAGAAAATATTTTACTGCTTAAAGGCATTTCCAGTACCAATATTTATACCACAGCTGTATATTTACACCACACTTTACAATCACAAAGATGGCTTGTAACATTAAATCCAGAATAAGGTTAGTGAGGATCTGCTATCCTGCTGGACCAATTGTAATTTTCCCTTGAGTAGTCACAATTATAAATATGCATCCCCCCAGAACTAGAAGGCTGCAAACCAACACAAATAGAGCAGAATTTTAGAATTTTTTAATCCATGTTTAGAGGGTTAGGAGAGGGGGGAATGGAAACTTTTCTCCACCGTTCTGAACTTGAGTAGAAGACCAGCAGTGAGCATTTATTCTATCCTCAAGTTAAACAAAGAAAAGAAGCAAGGGAAAACCCACTGCTCCAGTGTAAATATGAAAACTCAGAATTAGAACCCGTATAAAAGTCACCATCAATACAAATTATGTAACTTGCATTTTCAAACTTTTTCTCCTGAAAAAGGGAAGAACTGTGATCATGATTGTGCAGACCACTTAACCGGACTCATGTGGCCAAGCAGAAATCTTAAAATACTGGTGGTGGCAGTAGTAGTAGCAGTAGGCATTTTAAAACTGTGAAGTTGTTATAGATGGTTTATTCTCCTACAAACAACTTACTGAAATTTGCTTAGACTTTGGGAATTTCATGCTAACATTATGAATCCCTTATAGTTCAGATTCACTATAGAAGCATGTAAGAAGCATCAGTGAAGATAAAGCAGTTCTAATCCCTAGGCCAATTTCAGGGTATATTTTACCTATTCAAACAGAATATATGGCTCAATTCTCATTTATTCCCTCAAAATTTCCTAGTAGGATTAGAAATCAAGATGAAATTTGTTATTGTTCCAGATTCTCTTTTCTGAGGTAGTCAAAATGGTTAGAGAATCCCAAATTATTTCTTGTAGTTAGTAATGCCAGTTGAATTGCTGATCTTTATTTTAGTCTGCATGTTTTTGTTATTTTTGGTGATTTAAAGAAAATACGATGACCTAATCAGATGGAAGTATTCATATATTCTTGCAAGTTCCAGTTATAAATGAAACCATCTACCTTCTTGTAATCATTTATCTGTGTTAGAAGCTCTATGGGATCTAAAGGGATAGGATTCTAGAGTGCAAAAATTCCTCCGAACTTCACAGCTTCATGACTTCTTGAAAGCCCCATGCAGTCCTCTAGTGCTTCTTTATGCCTTTTTTACTAAAGAAAGAAGCTGAGATCTGCCTTGGAATTACAAATTGATGTACTGTATGTGAAAATGTTGATGTTTCGAAACATCAACTATGAGTAGGTTAAAATGGAAATATTATCCAAATATCTTCCAACCACCCCATCTCTGTTAACTTCCATATTTATTTAAGCCATACTCAAGCTGCAAAGTTTTTATAGCAAAAAAAATATATTGTTGAAAACTAACACTGATTGAAATTACAATTAAGAGATTATATAACCCTTATTGTCACTTTTTCTGTGTATACATTGACACACATTAAAAATGAAATTCTGATGCCCACTCTATTTTCTCCATTTTGATGTTATCGGCTAAACAACAGAAGTCAATGTATGAATCTATGTCGGATGTGGTGGAAGCAAGAATTGTTTTGCAAAGATCAAAAGGTATGCAGAGCTATAATGAATTAGGTTAGTTGCATTTTCTTTCTTATCTCATGAAATTAATTTCTTTGGCTTACTCTATCTCCTTTTCTATGTTCTGCTTTTTCTGAAAGAGTAAAGTGAGATAACTATGTCAGCATTCAGCATTCAAACAAAAGGCAAATTAAAATATCTCTGGGATTCTCAAAATCAGCCCCTTATTCTTAGGGCATATTAATCTTATTCATTCATTAGTTTTTTATAAACCAACACTGATTTATTCCCAGAAAATAAGAAGCTAGAATATTTTTGCAAACATGGAGTAATGCTGAATTATCTACACAATTCTTTAACATATTTCTTCCTAAGAAAACTGGCAAAACTCAATTCAGGTAGTCCTCATTTAGCGACTCCCTAATTTAACTATCATTCCTAGTTATCACCACTAGTGGTTACCACCACTAAGTGGTGATTTAAAAAAATAACTTTACAACAAATCCTTAAAGCAAAAGAAAATTGAAGTAAGATCATAAGCACAGTCACAGTTTGACTTAGTAACCACTTCACTTAACCACAGAGTTGTCAGTGCCAGTTGCGATAACTAAATGATGACTACCTGTATAATTAAAGATTTTTCAAATGTCCACATGTCAATAATAATGTTACCCATCTCAGTTAAATCTGAGGCAAGATTAATACACATTCTGTATTAAATCTAAGCTTTAATTATGGAGATAGAGTCAAATTTATTTAGCGAGTATGCTCACTAAACTCAAATAGTGCACAGTAGTAATAACTTAAGTTTTCTGTTTTCAGTAGATCTAATTGAAATTAGTTCATCATATTGTTCTTTTCTTCCATAAAACTATAGACGTCAGCATTCTATCTTAGTGACAATATCTTACATTCCATCTTTTCTAGAGAGGGCCCCAAAAATCTCAGCTTGTTCTATTGATAATATATAAATATAATCATAGCAATAATGCTTTACTAATGAGTCACACACAGATACCTCTGCATCAAAAATATCCATTTTGAAGTATCACTCTTGAAATTCTAAACTGACCAACATTTAAACATTAAACAAGCATGTAATATGCATTATTCTATCTTGTTTTTAAAAACAAACCAAAACCAAGAAATTATTAGTACATGGTTTCCAAAATATTTGTGATGTTCAAAGAGGAATATTCTGGGTAGAGTCACCCTGTTTTTAGGCAATAAAAATTAGAACTAAGAATAAAGTAGCAAGAATAAAAGGAGGAGCTGAACGAATAAATTATTTCAAAGATAGGATAAAGTAATATATCCCAAAATGTAGGTTAAAATCACTGTGCTAGGAAACTACAGAGGGTGAATAATCTGTAACAATTTTGTGCAATCCTATTACAGATCAGTTCCAGAAATGTTCATCAAAAGAGTATTTTTCAGAAGCTGCCATGACGTGCTATCTGTGGCAGAACACTGCCCAGAAGCATAATAACTAATGAAAAAAATAAGGGAAAAAAGCCTTTAAAGCTAATGAGACCTATGAGTAAAAGAGCACACAAGCATTAAGCATCTCTTGACAACATGCAAACTGTACCGAGTGGCCCCCACGGAGACTATTTACATGCCTAAAGTTAAGTAAAATTCTTCAACGCGCCACTGGATCATAACCTAAGGCAATATAGTGAAACTTCTTTCAAGCCCTTTGTTTGTAAAGATGGAGAGAGAAAGAGATAGAGAGAGACAGAGAGAGGGAGACAGAGAGGGGAGACAGAGAGGAAGACAGAGAGGGAGACAGAGAGGGAGGGAGGGAGAGAGAGAGAGAGAGGGGGGGGGAGAGAGAGAGAGAGAGAGAGAGAGAAACTTATCCCAATCATTGAACATTACATGTTCCATTGTTTTCCATGAAAGTATACTTCGTATAAATATAATACTATATTATACCAAGTATAATTATATTTAGTATAACTATAAGGCTATACAAGTATATAATGCTTGTATATATAATTATACTCATTGGTTCCATGTAAGCACACCTAAAAGTGTGGCCTAAGCTGCTTTTATTTATGTTGTACTTTTTAGGGCACATCTGTTTAAGAAAAAGCTATTAACTGTTGATGTATTATTACATGCTGATCTTACAAAGACTATTAAATTAGATTTTAAAAAATATATTCCATATGTAGGAAACATTATAGTAGCACTCATTTTTATATTTTCAGATTTAAAAAAACAAAGGGAAACATTTGTTACATCCAGCAATTCATTCAGCCAGTGTCATTTCTCTCAAGATTTTTCCAAATGTTAACAATTAAGAAAAGTCAATTCCTCCTCTTTAATAACAACTTCAAGAAATTTAAAGTAATGGCACGTCTAATCAGTAGGATAAAAATGTATGTTCCATTAGTTAAGCACTTCATAAACTTCATAATACATTGTTGACTATTTTTTATTGTGGAAATCAGATTAATGGCTATAGATGCAATTTCATTCCACTGACATTTACTGCTAGTAATACCATCTAAAGAAAAACCGGCAGAAGAGAAGTATTGTTATTTCCTTTGGGAAGGGGGAAGGGCAAATGTTACAATAGCAGATAAAAGACAGGGCAGGGGTGTCCAACTCTGGCAACTTTTAATCTCATGAACTTCAACTCCCAGAATCCCCCAGCCAGCCATGCTAAGGTTGGTATTTGAACACAGCATGTATTAAACCACAAAATGTACAGGATGAAAATCCAAAGAAAAATTGTGGCGTCAAGTAATACTGTTTAATCAATAAGCAAGTTAGCTGTTCTCCCTACACACTTTTTCCATTCAGATTTTATTTACCTAAATTGGTCATTGAAAGTAGGAACAAGCTTTTATTTTAAAAGCTATTATCTAATTTACAAAGTTTAATTTTCAAGAAACACTTCAGAGAAAATTTTTCCAAAACTTGGGGGATAATAATTTACTGTTTTTTGTCTACCAATGAGACTGAGATAGGGAAAAAAGCAATTTAGTTAAAAAAAGAAGAAGAAAAATAAATCTACATCATGCCTTTTGCACATGATTAAACTGCTAGTTCGCTTACCTTCCTTTCATCATACAGTCAAGTTAAGAATAAATATTTAGTAACAGCACCCTATTAAAAAATCTGCTTCTTCTAAATCTCTTTATTATCCAAATAAGCACATTAAACAAACTAGCAACATAACTATTATTTCTTTGAAAACAATACATTTTTCATTAGCTGAATCATTGACCAATCAGAATAATTTTCCTCTAAAGTCTTAACTCATGAGCTGCAATAATATGAAATATCAGGAACATCAATGAAGTTGGAGATCAACTTTACAATGTAAAACAAGATATATTCCCAACTCATTCAAACACAGGCATATACAAACATTTAGGATGTATAAATCCAAGGTATTTGATAGACTGCAGTCTTTTGCTCCGTTTTAAACAAAGAATTATTGTTGGTTCATAATTCTACTGAATCAAATAAATGTCTTGAGGTACAAGTCAATGGTAGAATACAACCACTAATCTTCTCACCCTCTCAAAGTCTTCTGCAAATAATAATATAATTACTTTTCCTTTGCATGTTTCAGAATCAGTCATTACTATATTCAGTTAAAGGGTCTCAGGCAGTATGAAAAGATGTCTGAAATCCTGGAGAGCTAATCATACCTGGAGACAGATGAACTGATTTAACTCAGCATGAGGAAGTTTCATGTGTTACCATAATATCATCTGGTGAAGCTCCTTGTGGCAAATATGGCTGCATGTATAATCATATTCAGCTTATTAATGACAAATGGAGTTAATCTGAATAGATTTGCCATATTGGAAACCTCGATTACCAACTCGAATACCATTACCAAATTCACTTTTAAACACTTTGCAAGGACCTAGAGCTTGGAAGCTGTAGACATCATGAAACAGCCACATGACATTTACCATCAGTTCAGATTGGCTTCAATACACTATGCCAAAAACAGTAATTTCCCCTAGTTTTTTCTAAAAAGTGCCTGGCTTTTGAATCTACACACATGCATTCAGCTCAAAAGTAATCACTGCAAAGAAAAGAAAAAAGACTATGTTACATGGCCATCTGTTTTCTGTCCTATAACACAGTAGCAGTTCCAAGGTCCTGTCTTAGAAAGATGCTAATTACAGGTGCTTCAAATAGAGAGAGATCATATCCTTTCTCTCCATGCCTCTCCTACGTGTTAGAAATATACTTCGTGTGATAAATGAAGGTATGTGTGGGGATCCTTTTATCAATCCTCCTCCTCAAGCCTTCAAGAGAACCATTAACACAGTTTTAAACAAGGGTATTTGTTAGATCTCATACACTTGTCTCTATGCCATACAGACTTAGATGTGGTCTCTGTTTGTACCGCATGCGTTTTTCACCTGAGTAATTCAAAGCTGATTGATCCAATGGAGCCACAGTTACTGGGGCTTTTGATACTGGGACAAAAGGGACATGATCATGTGGCTGTATCTGTTCAGTCCCACTGGACTCTGATACTCTTGTCTTGCTGCCAATATCAGAAGTTGACCTGTACAATACATATTGGAAACATTAGTCAATGTCAAATATACCTTGGTCAAAGTCTAGAACCCATTTATTCTGGAGCTGCACATTTAAGTACTTTTATGTACATTATCAAAAAGCAGAACCACTTCATCTAGAGCAGCAGGATTTCTTTAAAAGTTTGTGATGGAAGATAGAGAAAATATTATCATTTTGACATTTCTCAGTAATAGCTAATCATATCAGCTTTGCTGACCACTGCTTCAAACTAAGTTTGCTTTAGGTAATAATTTATATGCCTTTTATCCTGTCCTGCATTTTGATATGGTAATGTAAACACCAGAAAACACTTATATAGATGTAAACAATTCTAATTATAACATTTAAAAACATGAATGTTAATAATGACATACCTTTTGTTAGATATATTTGCTAGATGCATGCTAAACATCCTCTTATTTTCATTATATCTGACAATGAATTATGAGGCTGGCTGCCAGTGCTCATTGATAGTTTTGAATAACTATGATGATATCACTGACAGTCAATGAGGATAGCTCAGCTGCTTATGTATTCTTATGCCAATGCACTGTGAAAATATATCATTTGTACTATGTGGTGGCTTTGTAGTATATTCCAAAGTGGGTTTTTCTAAAAAAGCAGTTTGTCAGACCAAGTAATTTTGTAAGACTGAACCACACAACAACAATCAGCCACACATGCATGAAGTGCATTATTAAATTAATTTGATCTGAGAATATAAAATTTAAAAGGCAATATCCACAATAAAAATGAGCAGAGAATTGTGCACTAAATATTTAAAGTATGTTAACAGTATGTTAAAACCTGTCTACATTTGTTATGATTACCCAATTTACATAAATAATATTATAGTAAAATGTTCTAAATTTTTCTTGATTGCCACCCCCCCTCCCTCAAAAATATTAAATTATCCACTGATCTTGTGCTGCCAGTATTTGGTTATTTCAGGAAAAAAATGGGGTGTTCTATTAATTATTCAATTTTTTAATAGCACGGTCAGCCAGAGATTATACCTTTGTAATCAAGGATTTAAAATCATGGTTGAGACAATACTAGAGAATAGATTTTGCATATTTTTACATATCTAAAAAGTTTGTATCCAAACATAGATATATAGTTTTAAAATATTTAATCATAACATTATACATGAAATTATTCCATTTGATTGAATTTCAAAAGTATAAGTATACAGCACGTTAAATATAAGAAGCTAGCTTCACAGTAGTATAATTGAGCTTCAGCATTAATAACTAAGAAAATTTGAAATTTCTGCAGTACCTCCTAAGAGAAGTTATAGCAACAGGTCCTGTTCTGGGAGGCACAGGAGGAGGTGGAGAACCCATCACCATTTCAGGGAGTGGAGAAAACCTGTATGCCTGGGAAGAAATCAGAAACGTTTCCTCAAAAAAAAAATTCCATTATTAAAATAACACTAGATTGTTTCTCTGCATTACAGAAGAAGTGTGTTTGATGGAATCCCAGAATAGATTCTATTCAAAGGTAGCGATCTCAAAAGCTTAATAATTAAAAAAAAGTCTTTAAATAATTAAAAAGTAAGCCTTTCAATGTGTTCAAAAGTTCTCATTAATTTTGTAAAATATTATACATATAATTTTACCAAGAGTGAATCTTTTTTCAAGATAAGAATATTTAACATATATAAAAATTAGTTATAATTCAATTTGGGAATCCCCCATTTTCATTCTCCTCATTTGTCAAAAGTTAAATCTCAAATTAAGTTTCTTTGGGAAAACCCATGAAACATTACGAGTAAGTTATATTTGTTTTAAATTGCTCATAGCAACTCAGATTAAATAAGTATGAATTCCTCTTTTGCACTTCTGTTTTTCTTACATCAAATTTTATACCATAAATATTCTTAATATTTATTCCTATTACCCTTTTTTGGTGAACAGCTTTTTGTACAAGTTGCTCTAATTAAAGAAACAAGAGATCACAATAAGCATTTATTTTTCCATTGCTTGCAAGCATACACTGATATGAGAATAAATTGTGGTATGGATGTCGGTTGAACTGATTTCAATACACATGTCCAGTAAGCAAGTTTTAAATCATGTTGCCTAATAACTGGAAGCTGAAAATAACACATGAATACATTAAATCAGTGATAAGTAGAAGGAAACAATATTGATATCTCATTGAGTAATTTTAAGTCATCTGACAGATTGTTGATTCTCATATATTTAACAAACCCAATAAAATGAAGCAACATCAACCATGCTGCTTTTATATTGCTGAAAAATAATAAACTATTATGGTAACTAGGACTGATTTGGTTTGGACAGACTGAAAGTTCCATTTAGTTGCATACGATGGCCTTGAAATTATGTAATTCTACATACATATTTGTGCCATATTTTATCATAGGTCTATTTATAAAACCGCATTATCTATTAGGATATGAACAATAAGTTTTTTTCTTCAATCGTCTGGCAAAATTTTGTTCATTTTACAATTTCACAACCTAGTTTTAAACAGACACACTGAAGTGTTTCTCATTCTTCCTTTGTCAGAGAAGGAAAAGATCTAGTTTAAAATTGCATATCTATGACTTGGTTGATAATCATTCAGGATTAATGAGCCGTAGAATTTATGCCATACAGCATACTTAAAAGAGTTTCACACATACAAAATCACAAAGAAAACACTAATTTGTAATATTCTTGTCTCTTTTTTTAAAAAAAAAAATCTAATCATCTGCATCCCATCCCACACATGTGAACAAATGACTTTTATTTTATCATTATCATAAGGGAAATTAATGGCATAAATAATGACCTCTTTTTGTTTTTTGAGTGAAGGAGAAAGCTAGTAACTGTTTCAAATACATAATTAAAATATTTTATGATTCTACTCATTCTGAACATAATTAAACATGTAATAGAACATGTATCTCACTTGAATGCAAAGCACACTGCAGGCATAAATTTTACCTGTCTTATCTTCATAGAGTTGATTTAACATGAAAGTTTTTTTTGTCACTGGGCTCTTTTCTGGTAGTATATATTCATGAACACACTCCATGCCACTAGTATTACTACATAGGGTTTTTGAGAATGAGTCTGTCAGTCTATCCCTCTTGCTCCCTCTAACTCAAGATAGAGCTGTGGTGGCACAGTGGTTAAAATGCAGCATTATAAGCTTCTTTTGCTGACTGTGGGCTACCAGCCGTTTGGCAGTTCAAATTTCACCAGGTTGAGTCAGCTTTCTATCCATCTAAGGTCAGTAAAATGAGGACCCAGAATGTTGGCGGCAATATGCTGACTTTGTAAACCATTTAGAGATGGCTGTAGAGCACTGTGAAGAGGTATATAAGTGCTATTGCTGTTACTGATACTCTAGCCTCAGTTAGAGGAACCAGAACAATGAAAGGAAGCATGTAACTTCCAATATTGTCTATACCTTGAAAAATACTGTTTACTTTTACTGCATTTATGCTATTACCTCATACCAGGTTAATTGTCTATTTGATAATTCATCTTGCACGAATATGTAACTCCAAGATCACACACATAACCTTACACGAAAAATACAATGTGATTTTAAAGACAAGGTTTTTAAAAGGCATGTAAAACACTGTATGACATATACAAAGGTTCTGCAGTGAAATGGATACATATTCAACCAACACAAATGGATTTTCCTTGAAAACATATGAACCAAGCCCACAATAGCTCTTTATGTATCATATGTAACTGATCACTTACAGGTCGTGGTAAACTGTACTGATACACTTCTGGTCTATATGTTGGCACCCACTGTATTCCACCTCTAGGCCGAGACATGGTACCAGGAGCACTGGTCACAACTTCAGAATATGGCAAATTCTGTCCAGAATTGTAAGTGTCTTGTTGCCTGTTCTGTCCTCCATGACCTGCTGAAGCCAAACTAAAGGCTTCCTCTAGTAACATGTGCATCTGTTGCCTAACTTCATCAATAGATGGCTGAGAACTCAGAGTTGAAGTCTCTGAATGACCTTTTGCTTGATGGGCTCTGGTATAATTTCGAGATTCATTGACACGGTCAATATTTGTTTCTTCTATCATTTCAGGCTCAGTCTGTTGGATAAAATATAAGTGTTTAATGGAGATTGTTGCAATCATTTTTTATGATGGCGTTCATACATGTGTACAATGAGCAGATATGTTCACTCATCTTCTTAAACCCCTTTTATGAGCTCTGTTATTTAAAAGATAGCAGAAAAAAGCTACATCCTGTGTTAGAAAAACACTAGGACAGCATCCCAAGGAAGCAAGGAAATCAACAAGTACAAGAGATCCCAAGCTTGTTTTCATTCTTCCTATTCAATTCTTAATTGCCCTCCCCACTCATTATAATCATTTAATTAGAGAAGTGATAGAGATATGGTGTTGGATCAGGTGCATATTTCCATTCAAACATAGAACTTACACTGGCAACAAACCTTTGTTAAGTCACTTTTACATTTTTATAAATGCCACAGTCATTGTTATTCACTATTTGCTTTAAAGAAGAAAATACTTAAGAGAAATTATAATCAGGCAAAGATGAATATAGACCAGTGGTAGTCAACCTGGTCCCTACCACCCACTAGTGGGCGTTCCAGCTTTCATGGTGGGTGGTAGGGTTTTGCTGTAACTCTGCTTTATAAATTTTATAAAGTAAAGTTACTTCCCTACTTTATAAATCTCCATTACTGTGGAACCGGTGGGCGGTTAGAAAATTTTACTACTAACTGAGATACAAAAGTGGGCGGTAGGTATAAAAAGGTTGACTACCCCGATATAGACTGTTATTAACTATTTTATATTAATAACTAAGAATGTTTTGTATTGAAAGAAAAAGAGAACAGCTATCTAGCTTTGATTTCAATGAATTTCTAGCTGCTTAAGAAATCTATATCCTATAAAAATTACAAATGTTACAAGTATCTGATAATAATACCTATTTTATGTCTTAATATTCTCTACATCGAGTCACAAGAACTGTCAATGAATTCATAGTTATGAATAGACTTAGATATTTAAAAAGTTTGTATTTTTTCAGCTTTCAGCTAAAATTAGCTTTCTCTTAAACTACCAACACAAATTGTATTTCATTGTATACATGTTTATATTCCATTTTTCTCTTTAAAAGGAAAGTTCAAATCAACTAACATTAACATACAAACATCAATAAAGCAAAGCTGAATAAAATACATAACTAAAAATCTGATATTCTTATCTAATAACTAGACAAATGCTTCAACCTGGAGGGTGTCATCATCTTGAAACCAGTTGGAACTTAATGTTTCATTCAAATTTCTTGGCAGTAACACAGAAGTGGTTTGCCTTTGCCTTCTTGTAGATTTAATTCTTGTAATTCTCTCCTAGGTGTATTGATTTCCTACATACTTGCACAAACCCTCTTGCATCCATTCTCACTAGATTATTTAGTTTCACTTTTGCCTTTGTATTTTACAAGCAAGGTGTATACACTTAAGTGTATAACAGGAGTTCCTGCTCTTGCCCACATTACTTCCTAAATCACTAAAGATAATGAGGCTTCCCACCAGATCAAAGTAGTAATTCTAAAAGAGTTAAAAATTAAACCATACTTGTTAAAGGACAATAGGTGACATTGACTACTATGTAGGATCCTCTTTGCGGGCATAAATAAATAAGATGCCTCAAAAGCCCACATAGGCAAAGAAAAGAGGTTGCTTCCATGTTGTTGCTGGTGGAAGACATATTTATTTGATTTGTGTTAAACTGATCAAACCGCATCAAGTACTTAATTGATTTGTACTTGTAATGATTTTTTAATAATTGGTTGGGACCAATAAGTTATGGATTTGTGTCCTTCCAGTGATTAAGATGATTTGATAGTCACTATTTCTGAATTAGTTCTGTACCACAATCACTATATCCTATCCTATAGTAAAAAGAAAATAGAGAGATATAGAAAGATGAAATAAACATAACAGAAATGAAGCATGGTACAAACCAGTGTCCATAATATTTAAATTTGCTTTTATAATAATAATGTAACAAAAATACAGAATGACCCAATTGCAAAGGAAACATGCACAAGGGAATACTGCAGTCAGGGAAATTCTATGTATGAATAACTACAGCAAATCCAGCTTTATCTCATACCATAGATTGTTCCTTTACGTTGCTGCTGCAATGAAGCACAATGAAGCATAGCACACTATAAACCTAAATGCATTTCATATTATGATTTATGTACTGTGACACATAATGTGAAAACACAGACAATCCTTTCACAGTTGATGTCTCAGTTTTCTGAATCCTGACAAGTATAGCAAAGAATCACTATACTTCAACAGGCAGCAAGATTATTTATTATCTCATAAGCACTGCTATTTTTATTTTTATTTTCAGTATTTGGGTTCTAGAAATCAGAGAAATATGATGAATGTACACAATATAAAAGGCAAAAACCAAATATAAATCAGCCCACATTGAAGAAACTGGCTGGTGAAAACTGGTAACTAAATAGATCAATGGTTTGATTTCTTGGCATAGTTCCAAATACACCTGTGATCTGATTATGACATAATTCCAAATCACCTTAGAAACTGGAGGGGGAGAGAGAGAAAACCCTAAGTTTCCTTCTATAGTAAACAAAATGCTTAATTACTTTTATCTCCATTAGATCATTCTACCCGTGCTTACACTACAATAACATTTGATTTACTGGATCTTAATGAATGGTCCTTGCATGAAATGGACCATGCATTTGATGGAGCAAATTTCCCTGATAATTTACATCATTTGCATAATATCAATCATATCTACTGTGCCAATTTATGGCTTTTACGTAATGATATCATTGCTCAGCTGTAATATTTTGCATTATTTTAATAATAACGTTATCCTGAAAACAAATCACTGTGATGATATGCTTCCTTGTTTAATAAACAGTATTCCAATTAATCCATTAAAATGGAATTTCATTGTATATTTAAACACAAAAGGCAATGCAAAGAAAGAAGGAGAAATTTTACTATTGCAGAGGACTATGTCATAGCAATTTTGAATACTATATCTGATAGGGCTTTACATTTGGTCTCATTGATAAAATATATGTTTAATAGTTTCATACCAGCTTACTTAGCAGAGTTTGTGACAAAATACATTAAATACTGTAATATAGTAAGAATTCTGATGTTTAAGAACTAGCTCCCATTTTCTCTTGTCTTTCCCTTAAACATCTCCATGATTTTGATCAGTGTTTCTTAACCTTGTTTTCACTCAAGACCCTTCCAACTTTTAAAAATTATAGAATATGGCAAATGAGTTTGTTTGTATGGGTTATATTTCTCAACGTTTTCATTATTAAAAAGTAAACATGATGCATTCATTGCACCTATTATGTCTCATGACTGTTTGATGAAATTTTAATATTGTATTATTTTTCAACATATTGATTTAACGGACACTAAGATTCCAGTGTTCAAGAAATACTGATTCAAACAATCATCTAAAGAAGAAGGCTAGGAAGAGCATGACTCCTTTGAGCTTTGGTGCTGGAGAAGCCCTCTGAGAATACTATGAACAGGCAAGAAAATAAATCAATGGATTATCAAACAAATTAATTTGGAATTTTCATTCAAGGCACAAATGACGAAATTCAAATATCCTCCTTTGGACATATTATGCTGTCTAGAAAATGCTGCAATGCTGGTAAAGGTGGAAGGGAAAAAAAGAAGAGTATGACGAGCAGCAAGGTGGATGAACTCAATTACAGTGACTATGAGTGCTCCATTAGAAGACTTTATCTGAAAAACCAGGTTAAGACTTGATCATCATGGAGAAAATCTATTCAGATGGTCACTACAAGTCAAAAACAACTTGATGCTACATAATAAATAAATCAAAATCTCCTAACTATCAAATAGCTAGGAATATAACTGAAAGAATTTTCGTCACACATTCAATGAAGAAGTACCCATTCAAAGAAGAACCTTAGACTGTTTACTGTTGACCTCACCCCATTCCTAAGAAGTCTTTAAGGCGGTGAAATTCAGCAGGTTCTGACAGGTTCTGGAGAACCGGTAGCGGAAATTTTGAGTAGTTTGGAGAACTGGAAAATACCACCTCTGGCCCCAGAGTCGGGTGGGAATGGAGATTTTGCAATATTCTTCCCCCAGGAGTGGGGAGGAAATTGAGATTTTGCAGTGTCCTTCCCCTTCCATGGGGTGGGAATAGAGATTTTGCAGTATCCTTCCCCTGCCATGCCCACAGAACCAGCAGTAAAAAAAATTGAATTTCACCACTGCTTTAAGGGGCGTGCGTAAGTGCAACAGCATGCCTACTGTCCCTGTCCTAATATTCCCTTGCGCTCATATTCATTTCATGTATTCATAATCATGTCTATACTTATATCTGTTATCTAATTCATACTTGACAAAATAAATAAATAAATAAAGTAAATAAAGTAAAACATAGTGCAACTTAAGTTGGTATCAAGAAACTTGGACATAAATTATTTATATAAGAAAGTATAGTCACATCCATTTAGTCTGTATATCTATTATAAGAAAGAACAAGTATCTGGGGCACTGAACTACCATTATGTAAGAACCTGAAATTTAGTCTATAACTCTGTAATGCATCTTGTCTAACATCAGGCCCTGTGTTGCTCTAGGATTCCAATGCCTTGGCCAGAATGACTACCTGTATTAGAATGGAAAACTTTTAATCCAGCCAAATCAAATAGGAGAAAGGATCACACTGATACATTAAATAACCACAGTTCACAAAGGAAGAGTCTGGAGAAAATTAGGTTATTACTAGAAAATATGAAGACTGTGATACTATGTGTGTAGTACAAAAACATGAATAAATAAATGCATTATATTGCATCATTTTTTCAGCAATACTTTTTTTATTGGGTTAAATGCAAAGTTGATATTCTTAAACTGTTTAAAATGTTTGTTTGCATATAAATAGGTTTCCAAAAATGCAAAAGGTTTTTCTCAGTTTTAGTCAGTAAATTTTTCCTTTTCTAAACATTTGTTCTCCTTAAATTTTGATTTATAAGTATATAACAATGAAAACTGGATTATTTCTGTTTAAAATCTATAGGTTTTTCTTCTAGATTTGCAGAAAATGGATTTTTAATCATATTTAACTGAGCATATTCTTCGGTCAAAGCAAATGTTTCATGAAATTCCTCAATCAGAAGGCTAAAATGTTCTCCTTAGTTTTTTCCTAACTCAGTGCACCTGATAAGGACTATGCTGAATATAAATAAGAAACTGATCCAGTTCTGCTTTTTTGAGTTGTCCCTTCAAAATATATAATTTCATTTTAATGCTTTTATTGAATTATACATATTAAAGATTAGTTGATCTTTTCCTTGAATCTGGGAAGATTCTGATTATTCAGATTCAGAGTTGTGACATTGCAAAATAAAAAGATATTACAGTTCCACTCTTAATTTACGAGCTGTTTAATTTTTCTAATTCATTTTCAAGAAACTTTATTACTTCACCTTTTATATTAACAAAATGCTGCACACAAATATTGCTTTCTTTTCTCGGCAAAAAATTGGGCACAGCTATTGGTATACAGTACACTGCTTTAAAAAGCTGCCTACTGTAAAACATTTCCCATCAACAGTTATTTCTCTTGCAATTTTAAAGATCATTTCAATAACAATCCCATTTTCAGTGTTTATATTCTTGAAAATCTGTTTTTCACTAGAGAGATTCCCCCCCCCCTGCCCCAGTAAACTGGCAGTTTTGATTTTTTTTTCTCATTATAGTTTAATTTGGCAAGGGCATGATGTTTTATCCCACAATTTCATCAGGGATTATATTTTGGGGGGATATTTCACAATACACAACACACACTGTAAGGTTCGCTTCCAAATAAATAGTATACTTAGCATTTCTTCAGCTTTCAAAAAATGCTGGCTGGCTGCACAAGGTTACTTGGCAGGTCACATGCAGATCTCAGTCCATATGTCATGCAAACCTGTTATTATCCAATTCATTTTAAGTCACCGCACTGGGGGACGCTGTCTAAAGTTTTAGCAACTTAATCAAAAGAAACTAGGTAAGCAAACGGAGATTCTTAGGAAGTAGCTTTTTAGGTGTACTACAAATATCTCAATATGTTCTTGCTAGGACTTTTGTAGTAGGCTGCTGCTACAAAATAATTAATAATTTTAATAATTAATATTTGGCATCACCTGGCATGACAAAGTTCCAAATAGCGCAGTCTTGGAACGTGCTGGAATTTCTAGCATGTATACACTATTGAAACAGCAACGTCGACGCTGGCTTGGGCATGTTGTGAGAATGGCTGATAGTCGGATTCCGAAAGATCTCCTGTATGGAGAATTAGTGCAGGGAAAGCGCCCCAGAGGGAGACCACAGCTGCAATATAAAGATATCTGCAAGAGGGATCTAAAGGCCTTGGGAATGGACATTAAAAGATGGGAAACCTTGACCTCTGATTGTTGGAGGCTAAAGATGCAGCATGGCCTTCTCCAATTCGAAGAGACACTTGTTCAGCAGGCTGAGGCAAAGAGGCAGTCCCAGAACCAGCGAAATCTGGGGGCTGGGCAGAATGTATCTGCCCTCAGTGTGGAAGGGATTGCCACTCCCGAACTAGACTTTTAAGCCACACTAGATGCTACATTAGAATCTCTTTCCAGAGCACGATACCATAGTCTTTTGAGACTGAAGGATGCCAATGTGAATGTAAATTAAGCATCTCAACAGAAAGTATAAGTAATAATTCACAACTGTGCTGAAACATACAAATGACGGTCAGTTTAAATTTTTTTGGGAGAAAATACATAAATCTTCTAAATCCATAAAAATGAACATATAACATTCAACCTGATTTCAGGAGCAGATTTTATAAACCTTTTGATTCCCATTGCAGACTCAAAGCTGCAAACATTTAAATATATCATTTTGTTAAGATAAACTTTATAATTACTGTAATCCTTCTAAAGCAACTTATTAACATTGCAATATGCGCAACAAATGCAGTTTCCATACACTTACATCATATCCACTATTGCGGATACCACGTCTCTGTCTTTCACGTGTAACTAGAAGATCCATTTCAGTTTCTCCTGGACTAGGACTGTTCAAAGATTGTCTGCTTCGGTAAACTGAGGTCTTTGTTTGCTGCCTATAAAAAAAGGAAATATTTACATGTGAATAAAACAGGACAAAACATTAATAAATTGCTTTGATATTTAGCCTATATTGATTTATGAACAATTATTAGTGGCATAATTGATATCTATATGTATCAATTCAAAATCTACAGCATCAACTAAGTACTCTTTGGCTCAAAATATGGATTGTTTGTGATGGTAGAAACCTAGGTGTAAACTAGATATTGCCTTGTGAATATATCTACATTCATAGAAGGTAATAATGATAATAACCTGACAATCTTTAAATTAAATTAGCTGGTCATTCAGATAAGTGACAACTTAATCCAAACTCCTAATCTAGATTGTAGATTTAATTTATTTGTATGCTAAAACCAAATATTGTAAATAGGACTGGATTTTATTATGTCCATTTATAGGTGGATGGAGTCCACCACTCTAGAACATTTTAGACTTCCTGAGGTAGTCCTGAGGTAGATTGAGGAGTTGCAAGAGAACAGAGAGCAGGTGATCTCCTTTTGTGTGAAAATCCATTCAAACAATGTTGGCTACTGCCTACAATCCAAATTAAATTGACATCTGATAAATATTAATTCAATAAACAAAACAAAAGAAAATTAATTGAACTGTGCTTTATTTCCATGCCTATCAAATTTGCTAATTTGATCATGGGACCCACAAATCGATTTAAGCTGATTTTCTGTTACACAGTAGCCATAACACAATATTAAATATAAACAATGCTTTTAAAATTTTATAAATGAAAGAATTGAATTGAATTGAATTTTAACAAAACGACTGTGTACTTTAAACATCATATATTGGAAGAATTTAACAGATTATATATAACAGATTGCAAAACCTTCACAGACTGTACATTCTTCTTGGGGCATTTCTCTGATTTTCTATTGAATTTGATTGCATGTCCTTCTTCCTCACTTGAAACAGCAAAATATGTGAATGTAGAACATAGAACACAGAATAAGAATTGGAAGGGACCTCAAATATCATCTAGTCCAACCCGCTGCTCAAGCAGGAGATTTTATACCATTTCAGACAAATGGCTGTCTAGTCTTTTCTTGAAAGCCTCCAGCAATGGGCCCCCACAACTATTGAAGGTAAGCTATTCCACTGGTTGGTGTTCTCACTGTTGGCAAATTTCTCCTTAGTTCTATGTTGCTTCTCTCCTTGATTAGTTTTCATCCATTGTTTCTTATTTTTCCTTTTGGTGCTTTGGAAAATAGTTTGACCCCCTCATATTTGTGACAGCCCCTGAAATATTGGAACACTGATATCATGTCTCTCCTACTTCTTCTTTTCACTAGACTGGACACATCCAATTCCTGCAACCATTCTTCATATGTGCTTATATTCATATGTGCCTTACATTTATTCATTTGCTCATAATTCTCATATTTATATTTTAGAGAAAGGTTTTTAGAAACCATTAAAGTTCTAAGTAAATGGGAAACATTTGAGAATTGGTTGGATCAGAGGTAACATGTCCAAATAAATAGCTCTATTTAATTTGTAATGTTTAGCTGATTTCAAGAAAAGTAGGCAAGGCACCCAAAGAATCAGGTTAACTGAACCAACTAGCAGAACTTAGACATAATCAAAAGGAAGAAGACAGAGTGATTATCTACCATCATAGCATTTTTATGTGTTGGAGATTCTCAGAAGTACCTTTCCTAATTTACAAGATACTGAACCTGATGGAATTTTATGTGATAGTGTCAAATGTAGGACATTTAATCAAAATATTATCAAATTGTGAATAATATGGAACATTATGAATTACACACAAAATATAATATTGATCAAGCTATGAAAGAAAATTATAACAAACTCAGAGGATAAGTTCAATAATTTTCTCTCCTCTGAAGACTGTTAACCAAATAAATGTTAAATTACTAAAACAACTAAATCTAAAATATCTGAATTATGTTTCAATGCTTATTGAAATTTTAAACTAAATAATATAATTTTATTGCAAAAAATAAGAGTACTGGCAGTAGATGAATTCAAAATTTATTAGCTTTCATGGCCACTCCTTCGTAATGTAACCAAATTGAAATTTAACAGTATAGCATCAATAAAATTCCAGACAACAGCAGAGACTATGCTAATACCCACTGAACAGCAATAGTGATCAGAATTCTACTACTTTCTTATAATAGTAAGGGTATTTCTGAGGTATCTGTTAAAGGCAGAGAATAAGATTGTTGTGATGGTGTTTTGTGATGCCTGTAGATTAAAAGTACTATAATTAAACTTTGTACCACATGTGAATATAAAGGACATTAGAAAATGTGCACAATCAATTCAATTTCTCTCAGAGGTCAAGAGTAGATATCCTCTTATATAAATGTACTATTGAATTTCTGTCAGAAGGGCAGAAGGCAAGGTATCAAATCTGCTTAATATAAAAGTTCAATTAAGTGTTGTATGGAATATATTACTGACTATCTGACTACTGAGAAAGGACTCTCTAACGTACCTACACTATGTATTTTGGAAATATGGAGTTACTTTGTAGTAGTGTAGATCTAAATCAAATTAATAAATAAGTAATAAAACAAACATTGTCTTATTTTTCTTTATCAAGATTAAGCAGTCATGGCACTTCATATCACTCTGAATTAATAAACTCACAGGTGACAGTAATTAACTGTGCAGATATATCCTCATTTTACACATACTGAGAGTACATCTTTATGTTAAAACATAAAGTTTGCAACAAATACAAACAGAGTCTATTTGAGAACCTGAGAATCCAAACTTCCCACTGAAGAAGAATAGACTACAGTTCATTGTTTCTTCTATTCTTCTCCAGGTAGGATGGAAAAAAAATATACATGGATGGATGGATGGATGGATGGATGGATGGATGGATGGATGGATGGATGGATGGATGGATGGATGGATGGATGGAT